TATTTTTGTGAAGTATTTATTACAGGGAATGAAAATGATAAAAAAATATATTAAAACAATTTAAAACTTTTAATTCAGATCTAATAATGCTGTATGCGTACAGGTCAGATTAGGACAAAATGAACACAAGTTATACATGTTACTAGAAAACTGTTTTACAAATGCAACGAAACTTGAGATAATCTGTCGAAATGATCGTATTTAGTTTATCTTGCCAACCCCTTCAGTCATCCAGCAGGTTTTGACTGCTTAAAGTGAAAGCGATTTGTACGTGTGACATGTATTTCCTTTATAACATTAAAATAATGAGCAAACGAAGGCGATGATATGTTTTAACAGATCAAGGAACTGGGAATGTATTTTGTTATTGTTAAAGGAATACAAAAAAACCAAAAGACTTATTCACTTAAAAGTGAAAGACTTATTCACTGAACAAGTTTATCGCAGCCGTTAGCAAAGTGACGTAACAAAAACAAGAACCTAGGTACCCACAAGATAAGTAAACTGTCTTCTACGTAGAAAAATTCCTTTCAAATGTGTTCTTACCCACAGCATCTGGCTTGAGTACTGCCATAGAATTTTGGTTGGATGGTTCCTGAACAACAGAGATGTGTAGTTGTGTAATATGGCTGTTTCCCAGCACAGCATCGTTGGGGGGTGGGGTTGTAACGAGCCGATCTGAAGATCCAAAAATAACGTAAATTCCTGATCGAGATAGACCATAATACTCAGAGTTGTCTTTGTTGCACACTGACGCATGACAAGACGAAAAATCAATTTTCTGTGCAATTGTGATTAATGTAAAAGTACAGAAGTAAATCAGTAGCATCAAGAGCTAATGGGAAAAAGATTTTAAGAATATGTTTTCTTTTGCTTAAAAGGCCTGCTTTCGATCTGAGTTGGAGAAATATAGTATATTTTTGTGAAGTATTTATTACAGGGAATGAAAATGATAAAAAAATATATTAAAACAATTTAAAACTTTTAATTCAGATCTAATAATGCTGTATGCGTACAGGTCAGATTAGGACAAAATGAACACAAGTTATACATGTTACTAGAAAACTGTTTTACAAATGCAACGAAACTTAAGATAATCTGTCGAAATGATCGTATTTAGTTTATCTTGGAAACCGTCTCAGTCATCCAGCAGGTTTTGACTCTTAAAGTGAAAGCGATTTGTACGTGTGACATGTATTTCCTTTATAACATTAAAATAATGAGCAAACGAAGGCGATGATATGTTTTAACAGATCAAGAAACTGGGAATGTATTTTGTTATTGTTAAAGGAATACAAAAAAACCAAAAGACTTATTCACTTAAAAGTGAAAGACTTATTCACTGAACAAGTTTATCGCAGCCGTTAGCAAAGTGACGTAACAAAAACAAGAACCTAGGTACCCACAAGATAAGTAAACTGTCTTCTACGTAGAAAAATTCCTTTCAAATGTGTTCTTACCCACAGCATCTGGCTTGAGTACTGCCATAGAATTTTGGTTGGACTTTTCCTCCGCAACAGAGATGTGTAGTTGTGTAATATGGCTGTTTCCCAGCACAGCATCCTTGGGAGGAGGGGTTGTAACGAGCCGATCTGAAGATCCAAAAATAACACAAATTCCAGATTGAGATAGACCATCTTACTCAGATTGTGTCTT